AATATGTTTTGGCTCCTTTGCACCATTGGTAAATAGGTCAGTGTTTCAGCTCTTTTTCCAGTCACTATAGTAGTTTGTTTTCACATTTATTTATTATTTTACTTACTAAGATTTTACATGGGAAAAAACCCTTTCTAACGGGTATGAAATGAAAAAAATCCTTGACTCCAAACGTAAATGAATTGATTTCATAAATGAAAACGTTACAATCTCGTGAATTTGATCAAAACATATTTTGCATGTGAGACCAAATGGAGATTCAAATGTAATGATTTTTGCGAAAAATAAGTCACGAACATAAAATTTTTGTAATTATTAAAAGAAAAAATGAATTTAGAACAGACCATCGATGTCACTAAGGATTTATCCAATCAAATAACTGATGCTTTATTCTCGTTCGTATATTAAATGTGTATTAAACAATTTATAATTTTTTTGCCTCAGCGTTCCTCAAAAAAAATGTGAATAGTCAATCAATCAATCAATCAAAGCTTTCTTGCTTTTGAGCAGTTAAAGCAGAATGAATATACAGCGTGTCCGGAAAAGATGCGACCAACACTTAACGAGGCAACTATACAGCGAAAATTAGTGTGACAACTCAATAATATCTGATATACAGAGCGTTAAAGTTTAATGAATTTTTAATAATTTAATAAATTCTTAATAGTTATTCCCTAATTAAATATTTTACTAGAATTAATTCTAGCTGCACTTGTCTCCATGGCACGCTCTGTTAAAACATTGAAAACCATTTTTGAGTTATTATTTACACCGTGCATGACAATTTTAAAAGTAGACATTCTCGAAAAGGACTCATTTTAGAAACACGTGAGAAGTAAACCTTCAAAACGCAATTTTGAGCTCTCTTTTTTTGAAACTATTTACGCGAAAGCGAAAAATACAACAAAGTTTAGGCTATTAAGTAGATGACATGGGTGAGTTAAATCCCTTAGCATTAGCGAATAAATATCAACTTTTTAACAATAATATAAATGATAATAAGTAATAAGTGTGCTAAATTCTAAAACAATCGGACAAATAACAAAAAAGTTATTTCAAATTAAAAAAAAAATATTGAGTTTCTGCAAAAGTGTTATGGAACTTGTCACACTAATATTTGTTGTAGATTTGCCTCGTTAAGTGTTGGTGGCACTTTTTCCGGACACCCTACATAAAGTGTGAATCCTTATATTTTACGAAAATGACGTTAACTTTCATGAGTATTATAAATTTGAGATTATAAATCTTTGAACTCTATGCTCATTGTAGGTCTCTAAATTAGTTGAATCGATAGCGAAAAGACTTATTAGCGTTAAGAAAATATAATTTTCAATATCTTCAACTTATTAATCGTTAATGATTAAACAATCATTTTTAATTTCAGATGTTAAAAGTTAAAATAACATGTGTGGGACAATTGTCTTTGCTACAACTGTAATATAGAACTTGTAGAGTGTATTTATTTACATCTTATCTTAATCGAGCTCAATATATATTTTAATATATTTGTTATATTTTTTATTTTTAGTGCTGAATGATCTCAAGACAGTTTTAATGGCGTGTGTGGCCACTCTTGCCCCTTTAGTGATATTAGTGATTACCATGTTTGGAATCAGGTAATTTATTTTGCAATTACTGCTTTTGCGCTATTTCGTAGGTGTCTTTAGTCTAAGTGCGAGTCTCCAACTTGGAATCAATTCTATGGAAAAAATACAAGGTTTATTTGGAAATTTGCTCGGACAAGTCGACACTATTTAAAATTGCGCTTTATTTGATGAAAGAAAATTTTATACGAAGCGTTCCAAATTTGAGTTATGACATCATCGACTATTTTTTAAGAAGGAATCTTAATTTTGTATGACTTTTTACGATATTTAAGACAAACATTGACTAAATTCAAAATTAAAGAAACCTCATTCGATTTAACTGTCCAAGCCTTATTATTATAGACACATGTTAGGCTCCTCGGATATTAACATCCTCGGAAATAATAATTATATTCTTTCTTGGTATGTAGTGCCGGTTAACATTAACTTCTTTTCAGCAATCGTGACATGCATACGACGTTGCTTAGAGTGTTAATTAGTTTTAAAACGATAACAGCCAGCGTTATGCTAATTTTCAACTCAAAACTAAAATTTAAATTATTTGCAGAAATTAGATTAATTTTTTCAAATAATTAGAATATAGAAAAAGAAATAAGATTAATTGTTCTGCAATTTGAAGTCTGTAATGGTCCTAAGAAACCTACATATAATAGAATAACACAGTGATTACAAGAGCAGCAAGCAGGCTTTTGTGAAAAAATTAATCTAATTTCTTCACAAAAGCCTGCTTGTTGCTCTTGTAATCACTGTGTTATTCTATTATATGTAGGTTTCTTAGGGCCATTACAGACTTCAAATTGCAGAACACGACTATGTCAAGATTAGTTTCAAACGATTTCTAGTCGAAAAGTATAAATAATACAGGACAATAGGGCGAAATTGGAGCTAGGCAAGCAGGGTATTTGCATCACTTCTTTTTTAATGTGTATCTACTCATTCTATGATAAAATATTATTTTATAAAATATTCACTTACACTATAGTTATTTCTGTTCAATCTTCTCAAAAGCGGCTGGTCAAAATTGAGATTAAACAATTGTATCAAGAAAGGACACGAACTTGTATGCGGTGACTCTGTTTCTAATTTTTCTTATATTGAATTTTTTTCAGGATTATGTGGATACAGTATAAAACCCGAAAAAAAGCAAGACGATTTGATGGGAATTCAGCAAGAGAAAACACTTTGGAATCTATATCGAAGCCATTGCATAGTCACCTTCTTAGCGACAAGGTAAGCAGCCTAATTGAATGTTGCATGAATGCATTTCTTATTGAAATTTCACAACCACCTCTGAAGTACAGGTGTTAGCAAAGGGTAAACTGATGAGCCAGACGAACGGCACTGCATTTTAAATAAGTATTAATTACGTTATTTGAAACAAGGTGCTATTTCGGAGGGCAACGACTCGTCTTGCGTAGCTTGCAAACGCTAGCGGTCGTTAAGAACTTAAAAGTTTAGGACAACTTTTTAAAAAAACGACCAAAACATACGCGTATGTAAGTTTCTTCAAGCGAATTTTCGGTTGGGACCTTATTCTTCAAAGCTGTAAATCGTCAAGAAAAAAACGCCCATGTAGGAAGATGACTTGAACCGTTAAGATCGTTTTTAAATTGTAAATGAAATAAGCAAACAATGTGAGACATTAAATTTATTGCAAACTTAAATTGCTTATCCTGTCCCCATAAGCAAAAGAAATGATTTAGACCTCGAAGATCCAATGTGAAAGTTCTAAAACTAAGCGTATTGGGCGATGGCATCCGTAAGTTAGAGCAAGTTAAAAAAGATATAATGATACAATTTACAGGAACATATTTACTTTGATGCCCTATTCAAGAATATGTGCCTTGTATTGTTTCAGGGGCCTTAAATTTCAGCTGGTTTATTTTTCATAGATGTGTGGCGTAACACAACGAGCTTATAGTAACTCGATGCAGCAGACCAGTTGTTGGGTTGGGCTTCTTATTTTGGCAATAATTTTTGCCAAGAAGAAATAAATTACTCTCTGTGTCGATGTAATGAGAAAGTAATGATAGCCTGGTGGGTATAAACCAACTAGGGGCATCTAAAGGTTTTGCTTTGGTGTGTGGTTGCCGAGATGGTTCAATAGATTGTGGGAATTTTCCTTTTATTGCGGCAATTGCTTTCACCTGTTACTCTCAAAAACTGCATTTGCTTAACGCACATTTTTTTAGATATGAACAAAGTGTTTCGAAATAAGTGCAGATAATTTTTATTGCATATTTTACTACCGAAAACAAGGCTTTTCCCTTGAATACAAAAGGGTGCGGTGATTATTGCTTTCTAATATTCGAATTTTATTATTATACAGCAAATTGATTACCTACTAGTAATTCACATCAAATCTGTTTTTCTAAAATTTCTCCAGGTAAAGTCTACTATCAAAATATTTCTTGAAACTTGAGGAAGAATTTTTTGGAAATTTTTGGGCAGCCGAGATCTTGAAATTTGTAGCTGATCTCGGATCGGAAGTTCGAGCCAGAATACATTTTTGCTTAACATTGTTTGTGAATCAAACTCAAAATCATAAGAAATATGCTATATACATATAGATATATACAAAAATAATTAGTTGTCAATATACCCCAAAGGAAAAAAACCATCAAAAACAACATATTCAAGTCTTACAATATCAAACGATTTAAAGGTTGCAATTTGTTGCACAACTTGTTTTGTAACTAGAGTCCGAGTTAAAAAGCAATAAAATTGTTGAAAACAGCGCATAAAAAGGAAATTGATTTCTTACAAAAAACGCATAACAATATGTTAAAAAAGCATTAAAATGCCTAAACTTTTTTTCAGTGGGGTGAAAACTATAATAGTTTTATTGACCGGTTCAGAAGAGAAATGGTTTGTTAAGGTTTTATTTATAAATTTGAAAACTGTGTTGTTATTTGTTGCTTCCAGTTATTTCGAACAAATCAAATAACTTTTGGTCGGAACGTCCTCAGATAATTATTATATTAACATCATACCTGCCACAAGCGTCTGCAGTTTCATCTACGAAAAAAACGAGAACAAAAAACAAAAACGAGAATAAAAAACAAAAAATTTATAAACAAAATAGTTTTATTCTGTACTAGTTCTATGAGAAATTTGGGAGAGGCATAGAGAAAACTTATACAATTCCCAGCAATGTAAGGCAGATTGTCATATTATTCCCGGTGGATTTTGTGAAAATAATTCTACCAGCTGATTTGGGTTCTTGTAAATACTCTGTTCTAATAAAAAATTCTCATTTTATTAATTGCCTTCGCATATTAACCAACCTCTGAAACAGTATTAAAGAAGTATTTTTGTAAATATTCGAATTTTTAGGCAGAAAAATAAAAAAGCGTTTTCCATGTTGCTTACGGATTTTGCAAATAAATCACCCCTACTTTATCCACCACTGTAAATAAAACAATAATGAGAACAAATAAATATTTAAAAATTCCCAACTCTTATGGGCGAACATTTAAATGTTAATGCCTGGCAAAGTACTACCTGAATGATGCATTCATTGCAAAATCAACACTGTTAAAAAATGTATTATTATCAAATTCGCATTTACTTGCTGTGCAAAGATCATTCACTGCAGCCAAACACATCGAGTGCATTGGCCCAAATGCACCTCCCAAATATTCCCACTTATACAAAAAACAGGACGTCATTTCTGCTAGTTTATCGACTTCTATAAAAAGAAAACTTATTTGGGAACTACAGGGTGTGCACGGTGTAGGATTTACAAGTTTTAGGTCTAGAAAAAATGTGTGGAATATGGAATTTGTTGCGAAATCGCGTGTTTCTTAAACACGTGAGAATTAATGAGAAATAAGATATGCAATGAAAATGGCCAACGTTTCACCGTTTGCAGTAGGATGTGGAAGTAACTAGTAGACATTTAATTCTTTAAGTCTCCTCATTTTGTGAATCGGGATTGTCAATTATTCTCATTATGGTGTAGTTATGAATGGCCCAACATGGTTCTGAATCCATGTCTCAGAGAGGACCGATCCAGCATATTCAGGACTTCCGGAGACATGGAAGTAAGAAAAGTTTAAATGACTGAAGCTCAGAAGAGCAGGAAAGTGAAGCACAGAATCGTTTACAACTTAGCAAAATGGAACTATAATTGCTGATAATTGAGAGAATGAAAGATGATGACCGTCCTGTATAAGCTTTTTCGCCAGAAATAATCTTTGCTCAGACCGTTGCTATTTGACTTTGGCCAAATGCGAATGTCAAACCTTCCTCTATAAAAATCTATTCGCACTCTTTCTATCGCAACCAATTTTATGCCAGTTAAAAAAAGAGGCAGCTTGAATGGGGGCCCCCAAAATCTTCGTTGCGGTCGAGCTACGAGTGAAACGGACGAGGATTAGTAGCGATAAGCGAAATGCATTTTTGGCGGTTATTAAACCCGCTGGTCGTGTTTTGCACATTATTTGCTATCTATGCAATAATAGCGACTAGACGAAAAATGTCGGGATTTTGACCGGTCTCAAGGATATTCAGGCCGTTGGAGCTTGGACTGATGTTAGCAGGTCGGCGCTAATACGAAGTTAGCATAATATGAACAACATATTTTTTTCTTATATTTATAACGTGGCTAGATGCACGGGCAAGGTACCTTTAGTACCTGTTTAGAAAATTCCAGAATAATTCCATTTTTCCTAGGCTACACCAAATGGTTCAAAGTTGGCATTATTCCTCTTGAGGAGTTATGAAGGTCCTTTAAAGTAATCTGAATATCCAGTAGCAGTTGGAAATGGCGACATATCTGATATTCCATTGCGATTGGTTGTAGTAGTTGTAGATATAGTTGCAGTCAAATAAATTGGAAATTCTTGAAATTGTAAAAAGTATAACAACAAACATACCGTCCAGACAATGTATATTCGTGTCAAAGAAAGCTAACCATAATCGTGGATAATCTTAATCACCTAATCCGGAGTCTTGAACTGCATCAAAGTCATCAAAGATTTTAGCAATTGCTCCTAATTTAAATGTGTCAGATCTTCTATTCCCAATTTTATGAGCACGCTGTAGATATGAAATTAATTTTTAATTATTATTAACTTGAGTTCGAAAATTTTAATTAATTAGCGTTTTCATATCAAACTGGTGGATATCGTGAGCTAGAAAAAATGTAATTAAACGAGTCACATAGGAGAGTTTGCATATGCTCCTTAAAATTCTCCATTTTATGATTGTCCACAATTTTGCCCAAAAAACGCCAAGATGATAAATTCTCACTTTCAAACCATACAAATTGATTATTTTCATCCAAACTATAAATGGTTCTTCTGATATCCTTGAGGATGTAGGAATTGAACGAGCAAAAGAGATAGACAATTTAAATAAACTTAATATTAATGAGACATAATTTTCCAGTCAGATGCTAAGTATTAGCTACTACTGCTAACCTRCGATTGTCGTTTATGCAAATATCCCAGTCATAGAAAAAATWTGCATTCTTTAATAGTTCCCGATGAACGCCTATTTGCATGAAAGTTTAGGATTTTTTTTCTGCTGTTTTAGCTCTTGTTAGCTAACATATACATATATCAGAAACTCGACATAATTTTTATCTTAAATTATATAATCTTCTTATCTGTCCAATCTGATCTAATTCACGAACGTTTAAAGTCTCAAACGCATCACCTCCAGCCAATTAAAACAGCTCGATGCTTGATTATATCATGTAGTTACTTCGAACAAATTGTTCAAATTGCTAGTACGAAATATTTTATTGAACCCTACTTCGCAAAATAAACTGGTAAATAATTTGTCTTGGTTCGTTGGTGCTCTTGATGTGAAGATCGATTACTTCTCAAAACCAACCACTCCAGTTTACAATCCATATAAAATTCACTCTTAAGAGCTATTTGCAAATAGCAATGTGGCACAACTTTTGCAATTATTTGCACTTGAAGATTTGTTTTGATGCAATCACAGAAGAAACACTGTAAAAAATTAACGGATGCATAGTTAGATCACATACTCTCATGAAAATATAGAGGACCATGTTTTTATGTAAATGGAATTGTAATGCAGAAGGCAATTTTCAACTAAAAAATCCAGTAAATTTGACTGTATGGTCAAAAGCATGCCCTTATGAACTGTATACAAATAGTAGATACATAAACATAGTCGTAGACATACATAATTTGTAGCTTTTTCTAAAAGCGCATAAGTCGCGGTAGAAATAATACATGAAATTAAATTAA